CCCATGGAAGCAGCAGTCAAGAAATCAACGTATTGCATTGGGCAAATCTGAGGCAAAAGACTTCTTTAAAGTGTTGAAAAGCAAAGATATCACTTTGAAGACTAAAGTGCACCTGACTCAAGACATGGCATTTTCAGTTGCCTCATCTACGTGCGAAAGCTGGACAATGAATAAGGAAGACCAAAAAATTGATGCCTTTGAATTATAGTGCTGGCAAAGAATATTGAATATACCATGGACTGTCAGAAGAGTGAAAAAGTTTGTCTTGGAAGAAGTACAGCCAGGGTTCTCCTTGGAAGCGAGGATAGTGAGACTTCGTCTCATGTCCTTTGGACATGTTATCAGGAGGGTCCAGTCCTTGGAAAAGGACATCATTGTTGGTAAGGTAGAGGGTCAGTGAAAAAGAGGAAGACTTTTGATGGGATGGATTGACACAGTGGCTGCAACAACAGGCTCAAACATAGCAAGGATTGTGAGGATGGCACAGAACCTGGTAGTATTTCGTTCTGTTGTACATGGTGTCGCTATGGGTCGGAACCGACTCAACAGTGCCTAACAACCACAACAAAAAAGTGGTGAGAAAGCCATTCAGTACTATCCTGTTTAAATTTGGTAATCAAGCTCATTCATATCGACGAATGGCCTGACCCTTCAGATGAGACTCTGCTTCTAATGTTGGGGGATGGCTCATAGTATAGTAATTCATCATGCAGATAGACAAAAGCAGTGTTCAAGGAGTAATCATTTTCTCACAAGTTTTCATATAAAATGTATAATTACTTGGTAATCTAATTTTTTTTGGTCATGTATCTAACATATGGAGCCTTAGTGGTGTAGTGATTAAGAGCTATGGCTGCTAACCAGAAGGTCGGCAGTTTAAATCCAGTAGCTGCTCCTCGGAAACCCTCTGGGGCAGTTATACTGTGTCCTGTAGGATCGCTATGAGTCAGGATCAACTTGACGGCAGTGGTTTTTTTAAATTTTTGGTTATCTAACATGACATTTCCTTTTAGAACTGGTATGTAATATAAATAGTTTGAGAAAATAATCTGACCCACAGTTAAAGAAATCAGATTGGACTTATTTCACTGTCTTCAGTTGAAGTATTTAATATAAATTCAAATTACAGTTTGAATTTTATTATTATATGGACTATAGTAATGGTTTTCAAAGAATCAGAATTTGAAGAGGTATTTTCACATGATTTTACTTTTTGCCTAACTTGTAATGTTGATGTTTTTGCAAAATAAATCATTATAGTCTATTATTATAGGTCCAAACTCTTTAAACATAGAAATTCTGATCTCATTAAAATAGGAATCAAGTATCACAGTGACTATCTAAGAATATGATATGACTCTTTCTAAAGAAGACCTCATTTGTGTATTTATTGAAAGCTAAATGAAGCTGAATAGAATGCACACACAATCACTGTCAATGATGATGAACAACAGACATGTACACACAGCATGTAAAGGGCTTTTGGAATATCATTGACTTTTTTTGGGTCTTACTTGAACAGTCAAATGCCAAGAATAAATCATCTTGGATGTGATGAAATTATGACTATTTATTGAAACTAATATGATGGAATTTTACCTGATTTAACTGGCTATTGGTCACTTGATAATTTCCTGATTCTGGAGAATCAAGAAATGTGGTATGGAGAACCATGGAAGAATCCTCCCAGTGCTTTTCCTGCAATAAGATGCGTAAAACCAAGCTGTTGCCAACAAGCCTACATAAACATCCTGGGAGATGACAAAGATGTTATTCATGAGGAAAAACAAAACAAAGTGCTAAACAATCCTGGAAGGTTTTCTCTTCCCCTGCAATATGAGTACCAGCCTTTTAAAGCTTATTTCAGAGGTACACATTTTCCAGGGACCTATAAAACATATACTCTTTTCTTCTCGTTTTATAGCTTTGGGGTTCCCTTTGCCTGTGATTCTTGTTTTGAAACTGAGTTTTCTGCATTTTTAGAGTGCTCTAAGTATGGTAAATTGCAGTTTAAGTTTTAAGTTAAAACTGACAACTGTAATGATCATCCTCTCTTACTAGAACTGTGTCTTTAGTCAAGAGCTTTAACTTTCTTAGGTTGGATTTTAAAACTATTTGCTCATATTAGTATTTAATATTCATCAACTAGGTATTAATTTTAAAATGTTTCTTTTCCTTATGTCATAATTTTTTTTTTTTTCCTTTTGTGTAGTATAATATAAAAGGAGGGCATAGTCTACAATACCGGGAGAAACGTTTTAAGAAGTTTATTTCAGATACTCCGGGACCTGCAAGCTATGATCAGTCTTATCCTAGAACAATAGATATCATGAACAAGAAAGTACTGGAGGCTACAGAGTGTCTTCATTCGGTGTGTTGCTATTTAAATTATGCTTTGAGATACATTTCTTTTAGTTAGAAGAAAAAAAATTATGTATTTTATGTGCTGAGTACATTTAAAAAGCCTTCCTATAAAAATTAGATTTATTGGTATTCACATTGTAGTTAGTTTATAATTAAATGAATGCTCAATGATGTTTGTAAACTTTAATTTTTAACTGTGTTAGCATCTGACTTCATTTTTGCTCTTGATAAATCTGTAATCAATTCCAATTCTGTGGTAAAAACAAAGTAAGGGAGATTTTAAAAACCACCTGAGTGGCTTTCCTATATATAGAGGAACTAGAAACTCTGTGCTAAGTACTGTTAAAAGACAATAAAATTTAAAACACAATCCCAAAATAATAATAATAAAAAAGCTTAAAATGTAGATGGGAACGATACATAGATAGCTACTAATGCAAGACAAGATGTGACAGAGCTAAATGAATGGTCATGTAATTAAATGCTGTAGGAATTTATAGGAGGAACACTGTACTATGGGAAAGTATAATTTGCAGAGGGTTTATCGAGAAGGTTGGTCTTGAGATAGGCCTTGAAGAATAGGATGGGAATATGCATTTCAGTCTTGGAGAGTTACATGAGTGAAGATACAGAGGTAGGATTGTGTGAAGGACAGTGAAAAGATTGTCTTGACTGTAGTAAAGAATTTGTGTAGGAGACTAGTAGGTGATATGTTTGGAAAGGTAGATTGGTATTATATAATGAATGATTTTTAACTAAAGGCCTATCCTTTTGAATAAATAGTATAACTCAGCAGATAGGGTCATGGTTTCTTTAGTTTCCTTCTTCTCTTGCTATACTCCTTCACCATAGCTCATATTAATTAAATTTTAATCAGTTTTCTCTTTGTTTATGGGGATCTATTTTAGATATAAGTACAATGACAATGATGTTCAGGTTTGTAAGTGTACTGAAATATCAGATATTTCATGTATGTGGACAGAGTAAATTTTCATTTACTCATACAAGGGTTTATCAGATATTTACTGATGGCCAGACATAATGCTTTGTTGTTGTTGTTAGGTGCCGTCGAGTTTCTTCTGACTCATAGTGACCCTGTGTACAATAGAACGAAACACTGCCTGGTCTTGCGCCATCCTCACAATCGTTGTTATGCTTGAGCCCATTGTTGCAGCCACTGTGTCAATCCATCTCATTGAGGATCTTCCTCTTTTTTGCTGACCCTCCACTTTAACAAGCATGATGCCCTTCTCCAGGGACTGATCCCTCCTGATAACATCCAAATATGTGAGACATAGTCTTGCCATTCTTGCTTCTAAGAAGCATTCTGGTCGTACTTCTTCCAAGACAGATTTGTTTGTTCTTTTGGCAGTCCATGGTATATTCCGTATTCTTCGGCAACACCACAATTCAAAGGCGTCAGTTTTTCTTCGGTGTTCCTTATTCATTGACCAGCTTTCACGTGCATTCGAGGTGATTGAAAACACTATGACTTGGGTCAAGTGCACCTTAGTCTTCCAAGTGACAGCTTTGCTTTTTAACACTATAAAGAGGTCTTTTGCAGCAGATTTGCCCAAAATCTTGACTGCTGCTTCCATGGGTGTTGATATACTAGAAATACATAGAAGACAAATCATTGCTTCCTGGGATCTATCATTTTAACAAGGAAGTAATGAATGAAATTCAGTACAGTATAACTGATTAAGTGATATAGAGCCATAATGAAATGTTCACTAGTAGCCCAAAGTAGAGAGTCATATATTCTACTTGGAAGGAATAGAGGATATCACAACTGAACTAAATCTTGAAGAAGGATTCATTAGGTAGTCAAAAGATTGGGAAAAGACATTCAAATTAGAGAAAACCACATGCATAAAGACACTGAGGTGTTTAATGGTAGGGCATGTTCAGGGAAAAGCAGGATTTTTGGAATGTTTGTAGTGTAGGGTCTAAGAGAGTGTAGTAGGAATACAGGGTGGAGAGATCTGAAAAACCAGTTACTGTTGAGTCAGTTCTGACTCATACCAACCCATGGGCATCAGAGTAGAACTTTGCTCCATAGGGTTTTCATTATCTTATTTCTTGAAGCAGATCACCAGGCCTTTCTCTCAAGGTGACTTTGGGTGACCAAGTGCATTAACTGTTTGTACCACCCAAGTTGAAGAGGGAAATAGAGAAAGTTTTGACATCATGCAAATAATTTTTTAAAAGTACTGAACGGGGGGAAGCCATTCAATACTATACTGTTTTTTGGTTTATAAAACTCATTAAATCAATATTTAATAATCTTTTTAATTAATTCTGTGTTTGATTCTTCATTCTCTTGCCTTCTTGCCTTTGACTAAATAATATAAAATGTTCTTCTCACAGAAAATTTCAAGAGCACCTACAGCTTCCAGAACTGTTGATGTCCCTTCAATTCCTTCTTGTGGACAGGCATATGGTTATCATATTAATGAGGATGACACTATTATAAAACATTTTCCACCTGCTCATGACAGCACACTAGGTCCAGCTTACTACAAACCTCAGTATGTAAGTATGATGCAGATTATATTGACAATTGAAAGATTATTTATAATTATGCATGTTTTAGTTAATGTAACATTAACTGCTGTGACAAATATACCCCCAAATTTCAGTGGCTTAGTACAATTTTTTTTTTTCCTCATTCATACCAGCATTCCCTGTTGGCAGGTGACTTTCCTCCATGTGGAGATTCAGGGACCCCGGCTTAGTCCATTCATGTTTCTGTTATTTCCTAGGATCTTGATGTCATGTGTATCCAGGTGACAGAGGGGAAAGTGCAGAGAGGATTGCGAGTGGGAGGTTTTTGTGGGCCAGGCTCGGGAGCTAAAGCTCAGTCAATAGCCTCACCTAACTGCCAAGGAGGCTGGGAAATATAGTCTAATTGTGTCCCTAGGAAGAAGAGGAAATAGGTTTAAATGATTAGAAGTGTGTGCAAAATATATAATCATATGTACTACATAGATGCTCTTTTCTTGCACTTGAAAGCAAATAAGAACTTTTTATTTATAAAAAGAATTTGAATCTGATAGCATAAGCATGATTTATTCTACAAATGATTATAAAAAATATAAAATATGATTAGAATATCAAACATAATATAGCAGATCCATCTCATCCAGATTTTAAACTTCAAACCTGGCCAAAGTTGAGCTGAGATTTCATTCAGCCAGTTGAAATGTTTGAGTTATCCATGAATACAGGTGATGAATATAGATGAAATGTCTCATTTTACTTAATTACAAGACATAAGTGCTAGTACTTTGAGCCAGTTGTATTTTTATACTTTTATGACATCTGAAATAAATAATTTTAGTGAGAAAAACAGCAAAATTCAGGATAGACTTAAGGAAAGGGTAAAGAGACATTGGGTAAAGAATAGGTTTGATCCTCACTGCCAATACTCCAGTAATATGTTTTTATTTGTCTCCATCATTGGGCACAGTTTCAGACACCTTCATAAACGATTTGGTTCATAGCAACAGAGAGTTTGAGTCCTTAAATCCTTTGAATTGCTAACAGCTTTTTGCTTAAAATGTTTTTATTGTAATTTCTATAATATTTCAAACACATAGAATAGTACAAAAAAAAGCAAAAATTCAGATAACCATGTACTTACAACCCAGATATAACACATGTTAAAATATTGTCTTTATTCATATTTGGACTGACTTAGCATTTAATATTTAAGTAAAAGTGGCAATAAAAGCATACTGGGTTATAATATAATAATAATAAAAATATGTGGAGACAGCAAATGATAAAGCAAATATGGTCAATGTTAACAACTGGGGGATTTGGGTAAAGTGCATATGGGAATTCTTAGTATGCTTCTTGCAACTTTTCTGTAAGTCTGAAACTACTTCAAATTTTTAAGTTAATTTTTAGAAAGAAACTCAATGAGATGAATTGACACAGTGGCTGCAACAGTGAGCTCAGACATAGCAACGATTGTGAGGATGGTGCAGGACTGGACAGTGTTTCATTCTGTTGTACTTAGGGTCACTATGAGTCGGAATTGACTTGATGGTACCTAAAAACAACAAAATATTGTCATACTTGCATTTTTTACAAGAAATAAGTTATTATAATTATCACCCTACCTAATTCCCCTCCCTGCCTCCTCTCTCACCTTGCCAAAGTAAGCACTAAACCTTTAATACATATTCATATACAAGTAACAATATATGTTTTGTGACTTAAAAAAGTAAATGGTATCATCCAGTATGTGCATTGCTTGCTTTCTTACATATTGTTATATTTCTAAATTTAACCAGATAAATATATTAGATCTAACACATTCATTGTTCCCAATTAGATAAGTTTCTTTTTAAAAATTAGATTAAAAATCTGAAATAGTTTCAGACTTAGAGAAAAGTTGCAAGACTCATACAAAGAATTCCCATATACCTTTACCCAGATCTCCTAATTGTTAACATTTGAGCATGTTTGTTTTATCATTTTCTCTCCCCATTTATTATTATTTTATAACCCAGTATGCTTTTTTGATATTTTTCCTTAAATATTAAATACTAAGTCAGTTCCAGATATAAATAAACAAGTATTAATATATGGAATTAATACAAGATACTCCTTGTGAGTAAATAATAAAGGCATTGTCTTGCCATCAAAGTTTCAGAAGAATTTTTTTAAGTACCTGATTAATTTTGAATTTGTATGTATTATTGTTTTTAATTAAACCATTTGAGAGCACTTTTTAATCATAGTGGCCCTATACCCCTAAATACTTCAATGTGAATTTCTTAAGAAATAGATATTCTCTTTTATTGTAGTACAATTATCAAAATCAGGAAATTTTCATTTATTCAATACTATTATTATCTAATCTGTAGATATTTTAAAAAAATTTTTGCTAATAATCTCAATATATTCTTTATGGAGTCCTAGTGGCACGGTGGTTAAATGCTCGGCTGCTAACTGAAAGGTTGGTGGTCTGAATCCACCAACTGCTCTGTGGGAGAAGATGTGGCAGTCTGCTTCCGTAAAGATTACAGCCTTGGAAACCCTATGGGGCAGTTGGAATCAACTTGACAGCAGTAGGTTTTTTTTTTTGTTGTTGTTTTGTTTTAGATATTTAAAAATATTGCTAATAATCACAATTATATTCTTTATTGCAAGAAACAAACAAAAAAACAACAACAATTTGATCCAAAGTCCAATCTGGTGTTGTTGTTGTTAGTTGCCATTGAGTTGACTCTGACTTATGGCTACCCTAGGTGTGCAGAGACATTTAGTTGTCATGTCTCTTCAGGTTCCTTTAATCTTTTGTTGTAAGGTGCCATGGAATCAGTTCTGACTCATAGTGCCCCTATGTACAACAGAATGAAATACTGCCCAGTCCTGCGCCATCCTCACAATCGTTATGTTTGAGCTCATTGTTGCAGCCACTGTGTTAATCCGTCTTGTTGAGGGTCTTCCTGTTTTTCACTGACCTTCTCCTTTACTAAGCATGATATTCTTCTCTAGGGCCTGATCCCTCCTGATAACATGTCGAAACTACATGAGAGAGAGTCTCACCATCCTTGCTTGTAAGGAGTATTCTGGCTGTACTTCTTCCAAGACAGATTTGTTTGTTCTTCTGGCAGTCCATGGTATTGTCAATATTCTTCACCAATACCATAATTCAGATTCTTCTTTGGTTTTCCTTATTCATTGTCCAGCTTTGGCATGCATATGAGGCGATTGAAAATACCATGGCCTAGGTCAGGCGCATCTAGTCGTCAAGGTGACATCTTTGCTTTTTAACACTTTACAGAGGTCTTTTGCGGCAGATTTGCCCAATCCAACATGTCATTTGATTTCTTAATCTAAAAAGAATCTTTTAGGTTCCCTTAAATATTTAATTCCTTTAACCTTGAGGAGTACAGGCTAATTATTTTGTATAGTGTTCCTGAATTTTGGGTTTGTTTATATTTTCTCATGATTAGATAAAGGCTATACAGTTTGGGTACAATAGTACAGAAGTGATGTTGCATCCTTCTTAATGCATCATAAAAGGAGTACAGGATGTTGATTTGTTCCATTACTGGTGATGTTAAGTTGAGGTAGTGCCTTCTGGCTTTATTTGTTGTAAAGTTACTGTTTTTCCCTTTTTAATTAATGAATATTTTGGGGGGTGTTACTGTAGTGGGTTAATACATGTAGATATTCTATTTCTCATCAAAATTACACCCACTAGTTTTAACATCCATCAGTGATGCCTGAGTCAATTTTACTCTGATGGTCATCGAATGGTGATTCTCAAACTCTTATTTTTTCTACTGAGATTGTTGATTGAATCCATAAATCACACATCTAATCTCTTTAGCAAATAGTTATCTAGCCACACTGTTGGCTTTGATTCCAGAGCATACTATCTGTATAGGCTGAGAATTTTCCAAATCATCAAGCACTGAATCCTTTTTGCTTAAAAATTCCTACTTCAATTTATCTCTTTTTTCTCACATTTTACTATAACCAGCAAGGAGAAGGCTGTACCTTCCACACTTTGCTTGGAAATTTCCTCAGCTAAATGTCCAAGTTCATCACTTACAAATTATACCTTCTACCTGACTGAAGAACACAGTTCAGCCAACTTCTCTGCCACTTTATAGCAAGGATTGCCTTTCCTTCAGTTTTCAATAATGTTCCTCAGTTCATCTGAGATCTCATCAAAAGCACTTTCAATGTTTATATTTCTAGCAACATTCTGTTTATGATGTATATATATTCTCTAAGATGATAGAAGCTCTCTTCACTTTCTTCTGAGAGCTCATGAGAATTGCCTCTAACGTCCAACAGTCTCTTCAACACAATTGAGACTTTTTCTATCAAATGCCTCAGATTTTTCCAGCTTCTCTCCATTACCTAGTTCCAAAGCCACCTCCACATTTTTAGGTATTTTTTACAGCAGCACCTTGCTTCCCAGTATCAAAATCTCTATTAGTTTCCTAGGGATGCCATAACAATAGAAATACAAATATATTTTCTCAGTTCTGGAGCCCAGAAGTCGAAAATCAGGGTATCAGCAGGGCCATGCTCTCTCTGAAGCCACTAGGGGAGAATCTGTTCCTTCCCTTTCTCTTATGTTCTGGTGTTGCCGGTGATCTTTTATCTTCTAATTGTGCTAAATGTGTGGCTTTTGTATGGTTTTATTTTTCTTGTTGAGCTATATAGTTTTTGGCAGATGGCTTGAGAGATTTGCATTTACATGATTCCCATTACCTTGGCAACTTAGAAGTTCCCCACTTCAATTATTTTAACTGCTATAAAACAGCTCTTTGCACTGAGCAGGTTTAAGGCAGGTCAGATAAAGACAAGTCCTGCAAATGGGGCTTTCTATGGTACTGCCAGGCAGGTCAAATAGTACACTTCTCTGAATGGTGGTATTGGGTAGTTCCAAACCAATTCTGACCCCTCTAGGTGTTTCTAGGCTGATAGTTTTCACCATGATTACAAGGTTGTTCATTTTCAAGGCTACCCTGTCCTGAGGAGAGAGCGATGGGAAT